TCGAAGCTGCAAAGGCTGGGAAAAGCATTCGCAAAGCCCACCGAAGCTTCGCCAATTACAAAACCAAAATAATTGCTCTCCAGCACTCAGACAGAACAGTTACAGCGACTAGAAAGGCAATGGAGAAAATCACTCACGAATGCTACTCAGATCTCTTCGATAGCCGCGTTTACCTTCCGCCATATGAAATAAAGAAGGATGGATATGTTGCACCACCGGTTCTCCCTTCCGAAATCCGACATGCCATTTTGTCGGTGAAAAATCGAACAGCACCATATCCAGAGAGGATAAGATCAGGAACACCTGAAGAACTGTTCGCTGTTTCTCGTAAACACACTGGCTCGGCTCCTCACACGTTACCTGTCTGAATGCAAGGCCCCTACTCAGTGGAAGACCAGCAAGACCGTGTCATTTTTCAAGAACGATGACCTGCATGGCATCGGCAACTATCGCCCAATCTGCTTACTGTCCGTGGTCTACAAACTTTTCACTTGAGTCATCCTAAACAGGATTGGCAGAACACTAGATGAAGGACAGCCATGTGAGCAAGCAGGGTTTCGAAGAGGATTTAGTACGATGGACCACATCCACACGGTGACACGGCTCATTGAAGTATCGCGAGAGTACAAAAGACCGCTTTGTCTCACTTTAATCAATTTACAGAAGGCCTTTGATTCAGTTGAGGTGGAATCAGTGTGGGAAGCCCTTAATAGCCAAGGAGTCCCTACTCAGTATTTGAAGAGTCTTCGTGAAATGCACAACAATTTCACAATCAAAATATCACCATTATACAACGATAGTATCATTGGCGTCAAAAGAGGGTATGGGCAAGGTGACACCATCTCAAAAAATTATTTACCGCCACCCTCCAGAACATCATGCGAACATTGCAATAAGATAATATGGGAGTGAAAATCGTCGGTCGTTAGATACACCATCTTCGCTTTGCTGCATATGCTTAACGACTTTGATAAAGCCTGTGGAAAGATTGGTCTTCGACTAAATCTCACAAAAACGATGTTCGTGAATAATGGATTGGTTTCGCATGCCCCATTCACGCTCAACGAAACGAATATCTCTGAATGCTCCAGTTATGTCTATCTAGGTCGGGAAATCAATATAATGAACGACCTAGCTCCAGAGCTGAGCAGAAAAAAACGAGCAGCTCGAACAGCTTTCAAGAGCATCGAGGATGTACTGAGGAGAACAAAGAACACCCGACTCCCTGCCAGCCTTTTCGATCCAACAGTACTTCCTACTCCAACGTATGCGTCAGAAACCTGGTGGCTGCGTAAGCAGGATAAAAGATCACTCAGCGTTATTGAATGCGCAACCCAAAGGACAGTGCTAGGAGTACCTCGTGTCAAACAGTAAAGGGAGAGGTCCGAAACTCCGATCTGCGTCAACGATCAAAAGTCAAAAACGCCGTTTTGTACGCGAAACAGTCGAAGATAAGGTATGCCGGACACGTAATGCGTATGAATGACAACCGATGGACAGAAGCCGTTAGTGACTGGATTCCTCGGGATGTCAAACGTTCTACAGGAAGACCACCGACCCGATGGTCAGAGTTTTTCACAAAGAGCCTTGAAGAAAGGTATGATGCTCGACGAGTCCCTAGAGCGAGCAGAACCCACTGTGCTACTCTTGCACGCGACAGGGAAAAATGGAAGATTTACTGGCGCCCTCTCGAGTCACTCGACGATTAACGGGACTACAGGTGATACAGGTGATTGATGCATCGAGACAGTGTTACTATCATCCAGACAAATCTAATTCCATTTGGACGTTCTATGAAGGTTGAAGGAGGTGATGAGTATAGCACGCGAAGCAGAACTAGTGGTCGATCTTGTTTCTATTGCAACGCAGCTCTAACCACTATGCTACATCCATCTATCGGCTTACATTAGCTCTAAGCATGGGTTCTGCTATATTACTCGGCATTATCGAGGGAATACCTCCAAAAAAACTAAAGCACTGTTAACATTTCTTTGTGTTACAGAACATCAGTTGTCTTTACTTGACAGACTTATCACGAATACTTCCTGTTTTCTTAGCTGACACAGCCAATGTGGAGTGTCTATGAAACTTTCTCTGGCTGACGTATCGACGATTTGATCTTCTTGAGCGCCGGAGCGGTCCGACTAGACGATCTACAAATGGTCCCCCTAGCGATGTGGATGTTTGTTGTGGCATCAAACCCAGTGAATTAGAGCACAGCTCGAATGGAGAATCTCACTTGTAATAAGATTTTAAAAACTACGCTCTATGCCAATCTGTGATGAAATCGACCGCTTCAGAACGCTTACACCAAAAGAGCAAATCGTATTTGGTGGCAGCTTCAGACCAACATGCGCATTGTATAAAAGCGCATTTTTGAGTTACATTCCTAATTCGAATGCTGCTCACTTCACTGGATTCAGCTCGATGCGATACCGAATACCTACATCGTAAGAGTGAACAGCTCTAGACAATCGATTCGAATCAATCCGGTCTCAAGGACAGTGACGTCACCAGAATAAAAGTTTTTACCAACTTAGAGTTAACTGAATGGACTAAAAAATTAGCGATGTAGAGGTTACAGCAAGTCGGTTCTTTAAAATATTCCCTGTTTCTTTTATGAGTTCATATTTCTTCGCTTTTTGCTCAAATACACACTCATTCATTTCCGCGATGCTGTGAACGAGTTGAATGCTTGCGTCTCCTTAAAGGTTTGATGAAAGCCAAGCGCTCTATTCTTTTCAGCCATAGTATGATGGTGCTGAAAGTGTCACATATTTCTATCCATGTGCATTCGCTGGCTACCGTATTTTTGTTTTAGGTAATATGGACACCCGGTCATACACCAGATAGCCTTACTCTGTGGTATGAGCACGATAAGAGACTGTTCGTCGGTGACCTATTTTATAGATTTGATGATATCATGTTGTCGTAAGTGCTCAAGAAGCTCTGACAGCTATTGTATATGTTAACAACAGAGCACTTAAGATATTAGAGGTACAGAAGACAAACACAAAAAGTGTACTCATGCAAGTGTGGCACCTAATAGCACAGTGCTAGTTATCCAGTTACCGTTCACTACTTGAAAGGCACTGGTTCGATTACGCCGATTCGCCATGTCAACGAACGAAACCTGCAATCCTTTAGGTGGAGAATTTGGTAACAGACTTGTCTTGGACTCGTGGCTAAAACCACGTGAAAAGGCCCTAGAATGGCTATCCCAGGATTCTGGAGAGAATCGATGAAACCAGCATTCGGCGACATTGATAGGAGCTTGAAAATTCCCAAGCAATATGCTAAGTCGACCCGTTGACCCGAGTTCCTCCGTGGATCGTGGATGCAGAGAAACAAATAAAGTGCTAGAAATGCTGAGACCCGCAGAATTTCTGGATGCCGAGTCGGATGAAAAAACTGTGCGGGTTGCAAGAAAAAAAACGCAAGCGAGACGTCTAGTTAACGTTTGATATTACGGAAGTACTAGAAATGACTAGCATGCCATTCATACCTGACCTTTTTAAAGTATTTTTTAAAAAACATTTTTATGCTGTTAGAATACAACGGGTAATACCGTTGTAACTGTCTCACAACGTCATTTGAAATAAGGTCACTTAACCATAATGATGCTGAGATATTTGCAAAACTCCGGGCGGAAGGTGTTTGCGGGGATATCGAACAAGTTATTACTCTCTTTGAGGGTTAACGCCTTCAGCATCACACCATTCGAGTCCTTCGTTTTGCCTTTCTCTCAACTTGTGTTCTATCTAGCAGTGCCATCAGCAATCACCCATCAACTGGATTGATCTAGGGATCTCAAATCGGCATTGAGCCCAGTAAAGCTAAGGTGGTAGTTCAAATCACAATGCTAACTTTTTTATTTGCACCAAAGTGCAATTTTCCACAAAAAGCTACTATGTAAAATTCAAGCACAATGATTCTGAGATGCCTACGAAACTCCAGATCCCAAGTGTCGATCATCGCTGCGGACACTTGCGGTCAAGACATACGGACCAGAGGTACATTTGCCATCATGCGACTAGTTTGATACCAAGTCGGCAGTGATTCCTGTTATGAATTTACTCCTAGCCGAGTTCCGGATGGAAATGTTGAACTCCTTCTTAGGTGGGACGCTACGGTGATAAGTCCACCGCTGAACGTTGCAGTCCAACATTAATGAAAACCTTCCAGCCACGTTGAGGCGCTTCAGCTTTGTGATATTCGAAATAAAACCATATATTATAATTACAAATCGCGACGTAGGGCTTATATGAGAAGAAATAGCAGCTTTTAAAGACAAGTGATTTAAAAATTAGGTATAAAATCAACTTTATTTTGGATTTTAAGCTATGACCACACCAACATTCAAGACTATGAGGCGTCCACAAGAAAGATTATCAGCTTTATCATGAACCAAACGCAACCTAAGCAGGTTAGTCGTGATGAAAAATATTTGATTGCAATTATTTATTTAAGAAGACCTCTGAGTCGGCGAAAAGGACAAATTATATTTAGGAAATTTATGATAATTTGGTTAACAGTTAGATCTGTTTGGCTGGGTAGATTGCACTCATCCTGACCTTTCCAGGCTCTGAGAAAGGCGAAATTCGTTGAGACGTAAGATTGTGCGTAAATAAAGAAATAAAATAACACTTCGTCTTTACTAAAAAGAATATAAAGAGTTAGATCTGATTTTCTTCTCTTCGCACCACTTTTCACCTATCATCTTTTAGTTTATTAAGTAAGTCGGCTATCAAATGGCATGGCAACTTAACTAATTCTCAGTTTAATCAGCCCTTGTCAGTTCTTATTTCAATCGTCTTCATTCTTTAGTATTTTTTCCTCTTTTCTTCAAAGTGCACTTACGACTTCTACTGTTGAGTTGCAGAAGAAAGGAAGAAAAAGCGACAAACAAATGTTCACTGAAAAAATAAAACGAAGCAAAGATAACTCCTATGTAATGCTGAGATATTTGCAAAACTCCGGACCACAAATGTATGCAGTGGGGAACGAACACGCGCTGTTGTCCATACCGGGGAGCAGCGCACTTCACCACCACACCATCCGGGTCCTTCGTTTCGCCAGTCTCTCAGCTAGTTCTATCGATCTATCTTTTGCAAATATCTCAGCATTATATACGAGTTATATTTCGCAACATACCTTGCTATTAAAAAAAAGGCAGTAAATAAAGGGGTTAAGAAGCAAAGATATTCAAAAATTATCAGGAAGACAAAAAACAGACGCGAAAACGTGATACTTTCTAGAAAACAAGTCGCAATATTTTGAGTGGTCTGATTTATTCGCGAAGCTCTTGAATTTTTGGAGGAAAAAACATCGTTCTCAACCCTCGCCGTATTAAACAGCAATTTTCGATTTTTTGTCCAAATTACTATTTTTGACAGCCTTCTTCCTTTTGGAAACGAACGAGTTTTTCTTCTACTCGATAAGTCGATGATAAGTGTAAAATTTGTACAATATGCAGTAATGGCGGCTTTAATTTGGACTGGGATTTGTCGTTATTTAGATTCGTTACTCGGCTTCGAAGAAGGACAGGGACTTCGAGTGTTTGCCAGTATTCAAACAATATCACAGATTTCTGCTGTCCGTGCTTGCTGGGACTCACATTGGCTCGCCATTACGGTAAGTAGCTCATCATCAAAGCTATCAACGAGTTACAGTAATCTTTTTGCTGAATTTGCATGAGAATGCCAAGATAGTGTTAATTTTACCTCAATGGGCAAAATTTCAACCCACTTCACTTTTTTTAGTGCCGTTATTTTGTTCATATCGTCGGCCTCTTTTTTATAAAGTATAACCCGCCTCACTAATCGTGTGGTGAGCAGTGAATGGAAGGGCCTTGCAATACATACGTCGTCGTTGGTTCAATGTGCCTCTCCGGAGTCACCAACGCGTGCACACTCCTGTGAGGTCAGCAAATGGAACTAGACTTGTCTGGGAGGATAACTAAACTTACATGATACATCTGCTGGCTACCGCAAGCCATCGTATAGGGCAGACATATATTCAATCATCTCTAACAATGTCCGATGAAGTCGCAAGGGCAGACCTCTCAAGAATTGATCAACGCCGAACGCTTTAACCTCTTTTTCATAAGAAAACTTATGGTAGACAAATGTTGGCCTATACATAACACAATAGCTTATTAGCGAGTTTTCAAGTTGAGAAAAACAAAGTTGCTCTTTCTACACTATTTACAGATTTTCAAATAAAATACACTATCATTATACTTCACATCATACCCTGTCGCGAAAAGTAATAATAGGCAACAAATAGAAATTTAACACTGTCATTATAACAACATTGATGCTGAGATATTTCCAAAACCTCGGACCGGCAAGTGTCTGCGGTGTGGATCGAATACGCTATTATCGTTTCCAGGAAAAAGGCGAAAAGAAGTACCCGCATGGTCTTGGTAGTGAATGCATTAGCCCCTAGAAACGGTAGTGGCTTGTTCGAGCCCCATCGCAGACACCTGTGTTCCGAAGTTTTGCAAATATCTCAGTATAATTATGGTTACATTTCCCATAATACCTGCTATTAAAAAGGATTAAGCAGTAAATAAAAAGTGATTGCACTATCACTATAATTCAGATTAGAATCAAGATTTGATTTTTTGGGTAAACAAAAAATTGAGGTGCCAAAAATCCTTTCTCGTTCAACGAATAGATTCATTATCCTTAAATCGGTTACCACCGCTTATTGTCTTCATCTTAGTCATATGCTTCATATGATGTTTTGTCTCTCCATATTTTGCGAACATTGATAGAGTTATGTATAAATATTGGTCGATTCTGAAGATAAATCCATTAAAGGAAGTTTGTATTTTCCTTATTAAATCTAACCCTTATGTTCTGAATATGTTTAGATACGATTTACCACTAAAAGAGAGTTGCTCAGTGCTGGACAAGAGTGTGAAATTTTTTAGATGGAAGAAATTCAGGTGTAAATGTAACGTCAAAAGTTATCACCAATATGGAAAGAACCGTAGCTCATTAGTATATGAACCACCTAACAGTCAAAGCGTGTCGGCAAAGTTTATCACTGTTGGATAACAAAAAAAGAATATGGGGAAAAACCAATAGGCATAAAACGTAGAGGCAAAAAGTAGTTTAAAAACCCTCGTTGTGAATTCTTGCTTTCAAGAAATGCAAACACTTGTAAATCTATGACAAACTTGGTGTTTTTGTTCTCCGACCACTATTTTTGTCGAGAAAGAATGTGAAGAAGAAAACAAGGAAAAAAAGACTGACTAGGAAAAAAAAATCGAATGACATAAAACGAGGCGCTGCAATTGGACTAAAAATTGGAAAAATTCGAAATTGGAATTAATGGATTCTTTCCCGTGTTTCTATTCGAACGAAAGAAATAAATCCATAAACCACAGAAAACAATACTTGTGTTTCTTCAGGATTGATGAAGCCGATGGTTGGAGATTTGAAACTCGGGATAAATCGATGAGAATCATTCTTAGCCACGACATTGTGAAAAGGCTGAATAAGGCCAGAGAAAAAGTTCAACAGTATACATAGAGACAGCTTGTCTTGAACTTTTTTTGAAATATTTCAACTTCTCTTACCCTCCTCAGTTACTTCGGATGTGAAAGAGTTTCTCTCTACCATCACCAAACTCACATGTCTCCAATAGTCAGAATCTATGTTTTGTTCCGCTTGTATCATAATATCGTCGATGAAACATTAAGGATTCTTCGCCATCATTATCGTCTCCATACCCATGAAGAAAAGCGTTTGTCAATCGAAGAAATTCCACTATGATGTAGAATTTTTCAAGCATCAGCATGATCTGAAACGTTTCAAATGGACCCTAGCCTACAAATAAATATCGAAATCTTAATAATAATATTTCAAAATTCAAACACTGGCCAAAAGGTATCGTTACTTTCACACCATTTGTTTTTTGGATTCGTCAGGAAGTTTTTCTTCAGTGCACCAGCTGAAGCTTCATTGCAAAATGCTATAAATAGAGAAATACAAACAAAAATCATGTAAAGCAGTAAGGATGTGAGCGATAGAAAGAATCCATGCGATATTCACCTGTGAATCGTAAAGTGACAACCTCGAATCCGGGGCATTTGGCCTAGTTTTCCGAACGGCGATTGGGATTGTTCCTGAATTGCGGTTAGGGTTTGTCACTTTCGCTACTCATTCAGTTGTTTGCTCAGCTGTACTGAAGAAATGGCTTCGTTCTAAAGTCTCTTTTCTCAACTGCAAAATAAAACTCTAAATGTGGTACAACTCGTTGGTAACAACATGAGTCTCAACTCAACATACATGGCTCAACTCAAAAGTTTAGAGGCAAAGTACACATGTATATACAATAAGTATTTATGATTCATTTACTTCAGGACTTCCATCTTATAATGCAAACCTACGTGGAATTTTTTATGTATTAAGTCGATCTTATCCAAAATACATATTGTGCTAGGATCGACCTAGGAGAGCTTTACTCTATACTAAAAAATATAGGAAAAACGGTTTTTGGATGAGTTTATTCTTTGTGGAGGAGAGCACACAGCTGAATAAAGTGTCAGATATGAGAGGGCCAGTACTAGGGATTCTCCGATTCAATTCGTCTTTTTTCACCTATAAATATGCAGGAAAATCGTGGCTGAGAGGTGTTCTTGGGTGTCGGACTGCAATGTAAAGCGGGATTGATCTCCTGGTAAGGTCTCCCAAGCTGAGAAGGAGTCCGACGTTTCCATCAGGAAGCCTAGCTAAGAGTAAACCAATACCAGGATACACCACCGTTCTGGTGTCAAAGTCGCATGGTAGTAATCAAATCTCCCTCTGATCCACAAGGGCTGCGACTGCCTGCGATGGTGAAGAGCTGGGATAAACAAACTTTGCCCAGGCTAACCTCAGGATTCCAGGCAGCAGCCACATGGGCTTAAATAACAAATTTCCGAAAAATGGAGATTATGCTGGGACCCGCACAACCAGTGAGGATGGGTCATTCAAGTATTAAGTAAGTAATAAATACGAAGGCAGTTGCTAGTAAGAAGAATATAAATACTGCCACTTTAGCCAGCATGAGTTACAAATAACTCGTGTACAAGCAGTCAGCAAATACCCGTCTTCACCATTAAGATGAAATAGTTTCGTGGTCAGTGGATTTGCAAATTTAGTACAATGTGACCATAGTGAATCCAGACTCGAGCTATATTTACCGAGGACGGAACATTAAATGCTTTAAGTTCTGTGACAAAATCTGCTTATTACTACGATTACTAGCTTAGACCATGTGTAGAGGATTCGAATTAAAGAAGATTTCTACTCGACCGAAAATTCATGAAATAGCAACCCCATTTTGAACAACCCTTCCTAAGTCGTATAGACCTTCTCCCTAGCAGTTATACCAAGGTTCTCGTACGATATGGACCGAATTTTATTTACTTGACGTCAATAATGGAAGCATTTTTCACATAAGCGGATTTCCACATAAAATCTTTTTTTACATGGCATAACCAGTGGGAGTGTGAAGCTCTGTGGATTCCCCTCTTCTTTGTATAAAGCAAAGTCGCTTTCCTTCCTGGGTTGGAAATTGGACTAGATCTAACTAGAAAGGTCTCCCTCGGATCCACAAAGGGTGGCGGATGCCTGTGGTGAAGACTTGGAATCTCCAGTAGAGTTATCCAAAGATCCCACCGATTCCATAATCAATTCAAGGAGAATTCAACGATATTCATAAAAAAACAAAGATCTCCAGATAGAAGCTGGACCCACGCGCAAATCCTAAGTTTTTCGTGGACGGTGGATCCCAGGAGCTAAGTCGAACGAAAGCAGTGCTGGGATCCACATAATGTGCGATTTCGGGTCGTGCATAATAGTAAGAGCAGGCAAAAGGGTAAAGATGCTATAAATTACACCTACAAAGCTTTTCCTTGTCGTTTAAAAACTGTAAATGCATTAATCTCAATGAAAAACACCTTCCGAATAGATAGATGTTCATTAACGTAAGCATGAAAATTTGGGCACAGTACTTAAACACTGTAAGCGCCTATTAAAAAGTGAGCAATCCGGTCCGGATTTTCAATCGTTAAGAAAGAACCGAAATGGAAGGAGAAATAAGGAAATTATCGATCGATATGTATATTTTTCACTATCAAAAACAATCACATTTGTCATGGAGCTGTACATCAATGAAAGAAATAATAATAAGTAGTTTTGAAAACAAACTAGGGGCGAGCACAACGTAGTGCTAATGTGAAAAACTCACAAAGTAGATGAGGTACAAAACTCAAATGAGGTCCAAAATGGATAAAAAACGGAGAGAAATAAAACGAAAACGAAAAAGACTCTTATAGGAGATTTTCTATGAGTGTACGGCAGAGATGCATATGAAAGAATGAATAATGAATAATTGAATGAATTAAACTGAAGTATTGAAGCCTTGTAAATTACTAGGCGGTCGAACTGATGACTCTGCTGTTGGTGTTGATGGTATTAATAGACGATCTTCTAGCCTAAAAGATCAATACTTTGACTGTTTACATCTTGTCTGGATCGCTCAAAACAGTTTCACTTTTCTTAACACATTAGTAGGATCTTATTGATTAAAATCTTTATAGAACTCGGATATGAAAATCTGATTACTTCGGTTTCAGCCATTTTTCGAATCTTATAAACCTTAAAATAAAAAAACTCCCGGCATTGATTAATCCCCGAGAGATGCGCTATGTATTCGACTTTATTAAACATCGTTAGAGGTGAGTTCATTCATAAATGGCCTTTGTAATGACTCGCAGTGGCACACCAATGTATTGAGCCAGTGCCTCTATCCTTCCAGACGAGTCTAATAGCAATTTTCCGACCCCAGAGGGATGGAGAGCTTGGTGAGCCTGGCGTGTGGAGATCGATCCCATGTGTATTGAAGGGCGCCTCCGACCACTGAGCTACATACGCCCGTTACTACATCCTATGTATCAATATTTTAGCGCTTATCAAACATCATATGTTACATGAACGATTAGACCGCCCGATAAGGATTTTCTTACTTTAGTAATCCACCCTCAACTTCAAAATATCATACCTTTTTAATATGTCTTAAGAGATTTTTGCAAAATCTTCTCCTAACGTCTTTGTTTTTAATCTATCGCGAAACAGTACTGATTTGCTGCATCGAATTGTTACTGACAAGCCAGCATCAGGTTCTTTAACTGTCAATCTATTGTACATGCCGTTTCGACGGCGTTGCAGTCAGTTTATTTATTCCATTGATGTCAGTTTAGCAATAAAATGTCAATATTATTAGCACAAAAATATCTCTTACTCACGAAAGAATCATATAAAAACCGATTATGAAACTATTTAGCTCATAAGTTCCAAAAAAGCACTTTTCATAGTTGTTTGAAAGTCAAGGCAGCTTTGCAGAACAAGCAACAGAAGCGTCATTTAAACTCGACAGCTAGGTAATGAATATAGTAATTACAGTACACAATAGAACAATGAAATTGTTCACCTAAATAATAGTAGGCTCAATAGTTAGAAAAGAAAAAGCTATTTATGGGAAACCCTGATCTTGTCATTATGTCATGGGACCCGAAAAGTTCTGTAAAGGACTAGAAGTTCAAAAATCATGTGTAACGTAATGGTTAGAGATATCTTGCAACACACACGTGGCCTTTGCTTCGATTCTTGCCCTTCTTTAGCAAACCTTCCCCCTCTCCAAGGTTGGAAAATTTGTACCAAGCTTGTTTGAGTGTATAAGAACACTGGTTCTGACCCCTGGGCAAATCCGCGAAAGTCAGTATTCATTCAATATGCATTCAGCACCTCTGCAATGCTGTGAACAGAACCGAATGCGTATATCACCGCCGAAGCAGTGATCAACACCGAACGCTTTACATTTCCATTCGAAATCGATTAAGATGAGAATAAAATGGTAACATGAAATCGAAAAGTGAATAAAATAAATTTTGAACCCGAAGCTTAAAGAAAAGTTGGTAGTATCCAGAAAATATTCCCAAAAATTCAACCCTATAGCTAATCTAGAACCTTGGGAGTAGTTTGTTTTTCTTCCATACCTGTAATCTCTTATGGGCGATGAGTGATTGTTCTTCAAGGAGCTTCCATTTCTTGGCAAAATATCAGAGTATCGTGGCTTCTCTTGCAGTGGTTCGGTTTCAATCGACTGCAACAGATTCTGCTATGTTTACCACTTATTTGAGCTTTTTCAAGCAGCTTACGATACTCTCCAATGTCCTTCTAGCCCTCAAAAACTATTTGTTAACAAGATTTCTGTGAGATGTGACTGTAGTTCATTTTGATAGCTTATAATACGACTAAAATCGCAGAACAATCAAATAGCAGCTCAAAAATGGAAAGGAAAACACAAATAAACTTGAATTTGATGACAGTTTTAGTTCAAAACTATAGAAGCATATTTAAGAACGACTTTAGATGTCATAGCATTTTTCGACGTACCGAACGTGGGTACTTTTGACGGCTAAACGACGTCGATCGACTATTGCCAGAGCCGTAGCTTCGTTTTTCCTCACGTTTCTGTTGTTTTACGCACCAACAACAGAGGAAAATGAAAATTATGGCCTGAAATATATTTCGTGCCAACAAAAGAAAAAATTTTATAATAGAGAGAAGCTATGCATAAATCTGCGCAGGAGGCTCAGTTGTCACAGGTATCACGCAAAACTGACACTATGCCCACTGGATTGAACACGCCTGGCGCCATCGATGACACCTATTCTCTTGAGGTTGGCAAGGATTACTACCAGACTTGTCTAGGAATAGTTTTGTCTAATCCATAAAAGCTTGTGGTGAAGAACTGGAAGCGTCCTGGCACGGCTATCCCCAGAAAGAGTGCACTCGACTAGCCTTCAAGGCCACCTATGAAGGAGGTAATATCTTCAACTGGTAATAGAATTTACAAGAAAAACGGAAGAACTTGTGGATGAACAGATGTAAGGAATCGAATTGAATACTAATGTTCGCATAATAGACGATGGAGGGACATATTTGTAAGCGAAAAAAGGCGAATAAAAACAATTCCCACGACAGAGTTTCTATTAACCTCGGCATTATTCAGATAGTTCTCTATACACTTGTTGAGCAAACGTGAGATGTTATTTTCTTCTATAACCAACAGCAAGCTGACGCTTCGGCGGATTTCAGATTGCTGAGGAAGGCGAAATCTGCCGAAACGTCAGCTTGTTCTTGAATAAAGAAATAAATAACACTTCGCGTTTGCTCAACAAGAAAACAATTCGCCCTTAACTTACCATTATTGCAGCAATGGTTCCAAGTATTGCACTGAGCCAAATCAGAAAATTTTCCTTCTCACGTGATCGACACCACGGTTGTTCTCCTTTATTCCATTCGAAACGATACTCATTCGGGCGATTGTAGTCGACAACAATACCACCTGAGATGGTGTTAAATCATCGGCTGAACAATATCGCTAACGGAAAACGTTGAAACTCATGAAACTTTTAAAAGTTTTCCTCGAAAAACCCGACAAAATGGTCTGTGCATCTTACTATGACATCCTTTTGAATGTTCTTTTCTAAAGAAACCGATAGAGAAATCTTGAAAAAAAACAGATTTACCCATAGAGACACCAAAGTGCAAATAAAATAAGTGCTTAAACGACAAAGACCATGAATCCAAAAAGATTCACCCAAAAACTACCAAACATTTTCTAAACGTGACGTAGTTTTCGGTGATCTTCCACTGAAATCGATGGGTATGTTTTACATTACTGCGTTCCATGCAGGCCACTATGAAGTTAATACAGGATAAATAAATCACTGGACTAACATTTGTACTCGTTGACGCCTTTAACCCAATGTGATTGAACGCATTCAAATCGAGCCACATCACCCTGCATATAAGCTGAGTACATCGCTGACGTCTTTGTCAAGTATTCCGGATATTCGATATTGATCGGACCACAACTGTTATCTAAAAAGCTATTAGAAATGAACTAAAATCCTTAGTGACATAGATGACCAACGGAATAAACTCACAAAATCTTGAAGCATCTTGTCTTTCGGCATTAAAAACGTTCCATTCTTCTTTAATCTTCTGACCCAATACCTATAAATGTATCTTCTGACCCAACACCTATAAATGTAGATTTACATGAAAACGTCAATTGTGGGCCATAAATCCCGCGCTTCGGTAGCGCCTGTTACTCATAGCACTAGAACACAATGACGATGAAAACAACCGACTTTAGTTCACAGAATTACATTAAACGACTTTAACATGTTAATAAATTTTTTATAAGCACAAGCGTTCTCTGTAACGGCTTACGGATAGGATTTGCAGTGAATTACTCCCTTCTAAGACGTTCTGCACCCATAATTGCGGTTACGATTTGGTAATCAAAATATTTTTGGCTATTTCATATTTCATTTTCTTTTCAATAAGATTAAAATCTATGTTTCGTGATTCTTCTATTAAGGTTATGTAGTTACTTGGTTGACAGCAGCCAAACTGACCTTCCCAGGTCCTGAACAAGGTTAAACCCTCCGAAACGTCAGCTGCTGTAAGTGCTATAATAACAACCTCGTCTCTACACATCAAAAAAGGAGCGAATTATTTCATAGAATTAAAGGGCTCAATTCAAAAAACGAGTTAGATGATTTTCGTCAGTTTACAATACGGTTTGAAGAGGGATATGAATGAATAGCGAAGCCAGTGAGACGTCGATAAACGAAGGTTTCAACGCCGCTAGTGCTCTCTTTCAGTACGATACGCAACATCGTAGGTGCTTCAAAATTCGCACGAAATGGAATAAGACAAGGCATCAAACCGATCCATCACGTGCAATAGAGGCAAACGATTGTCATGACGACATTTCTTTAGGACACCATTTACTATGAGTTCCCCAGTACCTGCTACGTTATGAAACAAATAGCAGATCGTCTTTTTTATAACATCACCTTAGAATTTAAAGTGGTGTAGTCGTAGAGACATGGAATTGAGTCACCACATTCAGAGATAATAGCAGCTGGATTATCCGGGCATTGAGTTCGTCCGTAGGACTCTGTTATTTGCGATTGTAGTGGCTGAAGATTTACTGAAATGACATTCCCGTAAGCAAACAATAACTCGACTCATCCGTGGTAATGACAGTAACTCCTTAACCCTTTTATTTACTGCCTTTTCCTTTTTAATGGCAGGGTATGTTGCGAAAAAAGAAAAAGGCAGTCAATAAAAGGGTTAAGATTGTGATTATAACTAAGCCTCAGCTTAACTAGGTTCAATGCCGATTTCGGCTCCCCAGATCAATCCCGTTGACGGGTGATTGCTGACGGCAAAAGATCGATAGAACTAGCTGAGAGACAGGCAAAACGAAGGACCCGGATGGTGTGGTGGTGAAGTGCGCTACTCCCCGGAAAGGACAATAGCGCGCGTTCGTTCCCCACCGCATTCACCTGCGGTCCGGAGTTTCGCAAATATCTCAGCATTATATACGAGCAATTTCTTAGTTGTCCAAAACGGAACCAGAAGCGAGAAAATAGGGTCCACTTTATTCGTATCCATCGATCCCAGTGAATGTAACAGCGCCAGTTTTTGTCAGGTGAGAAACATTAGCGCTAATAGCTAAAATTGCAACACAGTGCAAATTTACGTGATTTAAAACACGTTCAGCTGAAATTCATAGAGTAAAAGTTCAAAAAACAATGAAATAATAGTGTAATACTCCGACAGAGGCGCGTATAGCTTGATGGTCGGAGGCGCCCTGCATCACACATGGGATCGATTCTCGCCCCCTGACCCACCAAGCCTTCGATCCTCCAGGGTCGCAAACTGGTACCAGAGTTATCTGGGAGGATAGCAGGACTGGCTCGATAGATCTGTGGACCACTGCGAGTCATTGTAAAGACCAGATGTACATTCAGCCACTACCAATAATGCTTAGTGAAGTAGAATGCATAGAGCATCTCTTAGCGATTGATCAACGCAGACAGCATTACCCTCTATTATCCTATACTGCAACAGGGAGCCGGAAGAGCATTACTCATAAGTGCGCTGAAATACATACATCGTCACTGGTTCTATTTCGCACCGTATCCGCCAAGGCTCCAACCCAGTGAATGTCGTTCAATGTTCCACACAACCTGCGATGTCGGATCATAGAGGAAAAAGGATAAAGTATTTCGTATTGATCACTTCCAAGGCAATGCTCCATGCATTCGACTAAATCAAGCATCGAAGAGGCGATTGGGTGCACGACTGGCCTATAAAATTACTTGTGATGTCGTACCGATCTATGAATTCACGTGTTTATCCTCCCAGACAAGATCAGTTTACGGACTCCAGAGGGATAGAAGGCTGGGCGAGCACTGGGCCATGGTTCGCACCAGCGACCAAAATAGTGTGTGTTAGAGGGTACCTTTAACCACCGTGGCATACGTGTACCTGACGTCCAGTCAGTCATATAGATAAAAAATGGGTCGTATTGACTAGTCAATCCGAGGTTAAAGGAAAGCCAGTTTTCAAATAGAATATAAAAAAATGTACGCACTGATATTCTGTTGTTGTAAATCGCGGCAGGTCTGTAGAAGTTGCATGAGTGCTTGACCAGTGATATCACGAAAGCTGTATCGTCCGCTAAAATAAAAAATGGGCATCGATTCGGTGAAAACTCACCAAAACGGCTTGGGATAACACTAGTTATAAGATCAGTTAAAAATGATATGGTAAAATTGTTTTGTTTACAACAAGAAAAAAACAAAGACTAACGCTTCATATTTAGCCGAAGTCTTGTAGATAGGACCACTTTTCATTGAGGCTTCCGGAAAAACCTAAATTGAACAAAATTTAACCTCTAAAGATGGTATTACTAGGCATGGAGTAGGTTCCGCAGATCTTTTTAGACTGATAAAAACCTTAGAAGCGTTTCTACAACATCTCTACACTTGTGATTTCTAATGAAATAATGTCAAGGGGAAGCAAGCTCTTACACCAAAAAACATATTCCGTACAAGGTTTCCCAAATATCAAATCAATCACTATAATTTCACCGTCATATCGGCGAATCCGTCTATTGCATTTACGGAAGGCCTGTATATAAATATGGCCTAAACAACTTCAATGTTCCTTTTCCTCTCTTTGTTCACTTTTTGTTTTTTTCTGAAAGCCATATCAACTCACTTCAAACATCTTATCTTCGTCCTTACTAGTGGTGAACATATTCTCAGTAGGCATACCACCTTGAATAGGCACTGCTAGAGCCTGCTCCGATCCTGGCTCACCAGAACCCTGGACTCGATCTGAAACTCTTCTCTACACCATGCGTTTAGATCACTCCAAAGTAGCAAATTTTCCACTTACTGAGAGAAAACCCACACAACGTTTTTTTTTTCAAAGTGCTGTACTACAAATTAAGTCGTATTTGATGACGACACTAGTTGACGACTAAGTCGTTCAACACTTAGATTCATGAACATTTACTTTTCGAAACAGTTATGCATAGACTGTTAAAAAATTACTGGTGCATCAAGAAAAATTACAGTTGTTGATGATCTGTTGCCTGTAGGTCTCGGAGTTCACATCGTTTATGGTAAGAGTGTGCATAAAACTCGCTGATGACTGGTCGGGAAACGGTCTCATCAAGCCAGCCACCCGTGGAAGGTTATATCGTTGTCGTAATTCGACCTCACGAGTTTTATCACCGTCTGGACGCTGAACAGTTAAACTAAATTTACTAAAGGCTTTACAACTTCTAGACTGTTTGATTCGTAAAGAAATCTGCAGTCAAGCGTTTCAAACCTGACCGAAGACCTTGTGTTCTAGCGAGTAAAAAATCTACTTAGAAAAACACGAAGTGCTACGATATGAAGAAAACCAATAAAATAAGGAAATTTACCACTCCGTATTGTGGCGGGACACTTAGCGCAATGTTCAGCATTCCCATGCTTTCCTGGTAGTTTGAATATCGATCGACGTCGATAGCATAGGATTCTCGGACTCTAATGCCAATCTGAGCTTCTTCTAGGACCACATATATTTCGGGTTGTCCTCGTTCGACATTGTTCACATATATTAACACTCCTGCAATGACTGCTTTAGCTTAAGACTTAAACACAATCAGGCTAGAAGATACTTTAATTCCCTATGAAACAAAAAGTTCGCATTAAGACTAGGTATTCGAAACAATTTCCTTTGAAGAAAACGCCGTTTAGAGTTTTTCTGGGCACTCTCTGACTTCAAAAGCGATTAGGAGCGTTTCACGGAGGAATTTGTAAGAGCACCAACTTTCAACAAAGGTGCAATACTAAGAAGACATTCTTAAATTATCACTCGAGTTATTTAAAGAAAAGGGTACAAATGTAATGAAGAATTAGAGACAAATCCAGATACTATAAGTATACAATGGTTCTTCTCTCTCTGCTTACCAAGTGATCAAAAGGTTTAACCCTTTCACAATTGCACCCACATTCGTGTGGTGTGTCCAGAAGACCACCGATCATGGGAGCGCAACTAAGAAGCACATTGAAATCAAAATGTACGGTCTGAAAGGTATAGGAGCGTATATACTGGAACCAGTGCGAATGGTCGCGAAAGGGTTGAATCAATCGACGATTACCACCAGTCCATGGTATAAGCCACTCAAATACCTCACCTTTAAATCGCTGAAGTCTCATCGTATCAAAGTATCGCAGAATATTTCCGACAATGATACTGGTTCTGTAACGGAAACGTCGCGTATCCTTTCTGACGACGACATGAACTCGATCGGTACCGGAAGCTTCAAGAGCGACACCTGTGATGACAGTGACGTTGGTCGGTTGTACGAGATCCTGTTGAGCCATTCCTCGTCCAAGAAGACCTAAACAACCACAATGACGATCCCACCCACCTAAAACATTTGTTCGCGAGACAAGAAGAATATGAATGAGAATAAGAAAAATGCTTAAAATGTTGCAAAAACATCCATACCCAGGATCGACTTTCTATTAACCTCAGCATTGGAATATGAATGTGTCGTTTTCTTGTTCAGTAATCGCGAGGTTTTTAAACAGCATACATTTACTTCCATAAAAAAACACAATACAATACAACGCTAGCTGACGTTTCGGCAGTATCGTCTTCTTCAGAGCCGCCTTTTCGTGACTTCCAATGAGGAAGTTTGGAACAGCTGATTATAGTCGCATGTGGTTGACGACTGCCACTAACTAACTAAACTTGCTCAATGGAATTCACGAAAAAGCGGCTCTGAAGAAGGCGAAAGGCCAAACGTCAGCTAGTGTTGTATTGTATTGTTTTTTTTATAGAAGTAAATGTATGCTGTTTAAAAATCTCGCGATTGCTGAACAAGAAAACGACACAGACATCCATACCATTCAATTGTGCTTCTTGCACATCCCAAAAAACATTCAAGAGTCTATCTCAATCTGTGCACTTTGAAGAATCTAAAGCTACCAAAATAAGATTAAAAAATAACGCATTCGGTGTTCACCATTCCCTCAGGGATGCGCTATGCATTCGACTCTGATCACAGTAATACTGAGGTATTTGTTAAACTCCGGGCCGCAGGTGTCTCTGGTGGATATAGAACCCACTTTTACCTCTCTGGAGATTAGCATGTTCATCACTACACAGAAAGGCGAAAAGAAGGACCCGCACGGTGTTGTAGTGAACACGTTAGCCCGCGGAAAGTGCAATAGCGTGTTCGATCCCTACTGCAGGCACCTGCGCTCCGGAGTATTGCAAATATCTCAGCTCATTGCTGGCATACTTCACATGATATCCTGCCATGAAAAAAGAATAGGCAGTAAATTAAAAGTGACTACATTCCGATCACAGCATCGTAGGTGTGGTTCAGCCCATTCTTTGCCTATCTAATTACTAAGGTCTACATATAAACCAAATCCCAGTTTTTATCCTCCTAGACTAGTCTGGCACCATCTTACCAGTGCCGGAGAGATGGAAACCTTGCTTGACTGGAGCGCGACGCGTCGTTGTATAAATATAGATATCTCAATGACCGGAAATAAGGACCGGGAGTTTCTTTTCATAATCATACAAATTGTTAACATTCATGGTTAAAGTGTCAAAAAATTGAGTCAAAAAATTTTTTTCGCCCATATATTACTCTGTGCGGCGGCTATCCATCAACTTAAATACTTACAACAAATAAACGGCTCTGAAGAAGGCGAAACCGCCGAAACGACAGCTATTGTACTCTAATAAATTCTATAATAACAACCTCGTGTCTGCTTATTGAAGAAAAACGAAAAAATTTTTGATCAAAAAATTCTCACTGAAATCTACACGCCTATCCGGATAACGTTCTAGTCGTAGTTGTATTTTTATTTCAGGTGTGGTAGCAGTGGGTGGAATGTAGAGCACATTATATACGCCAGGCTCATTGAAGATAAACTTGTCGTTGTCGATGGTGTTGAATGTTCCTGCTCCCATTCCTTCACCTATAAAATAATGGAGACAGTGTTAACTTTTTTTGCTCTGTCTACTATAAATTTTTACTGCGGAGTTTGATGTGAAATACAGTCACAACTATGCTGAGATATTTGCAAGACTTGGACTCTAGACCAGCTCGAACCACGACTACCCCTTCCGAGGGCTCGCGTATTACACACTGCACCACTGAGACCTTTGTCTTGCGTTTCTCTCAGTCAGTTTTCTACCCAACGCTGTCATCAGCAACCACCCGTCAACGGGATTGATCTGGGGAGCACAAATCGGCATTAAACCCAGTTAGATCTAGCCCAGCGTCCAAGTTTTGGGAATGAAGCCTGTCTCCACAGAAAGGAAAAGCGATAGAGAAAAGTTAAGCAGAAGATGTACCGTATGCAGGTGGTTGGTATTCTTGACAACCACTTGATGGTCGTCTCCAGTAAAACATTTGACAACGAAAGTCGGCGAATTTACAGCATAGGAAGTATGGCATGTAGTCGTTGTGAAACGCTGATAAACCGGGAACCTTTAAGAAAAACTATTACCGCGTCATAACCTTTAGCAAATGTGTTTTAGAAAATCTGTTTGTTATTATTTGGAAAAATATGTGCTGTCACCTCATATTGTCCCATATAAGGCGCCGTTCCAAATTCGTAGGCTCTCATAGGGAATCCCGGGTTATACGGTACTTCTGGGGTGACTTTAATCACTGGCTGGTAACTTGTTTGCATCAGATGGCCGGTGTCATCATAACAACAAACTTGACCGTAATGGGTAGGAAAACGCCTAGAATCCAGCACTATTTTTCTAAACGTTTTAAATTGTTTTTATTGCATAAAGTCATAAATAATAAAAACGTTTATGTTCTGACTAGATCTGACCATCTTCTTGGCTTAACGATCCGTTGTACACAACAAAATTCACAAAATCAAACATACGGACGAATTATCCTGTTTTACTGCAGAATTTCATATAAGTGCTAATGGATAAGCCCTAATCAGAAGTACCCATATGCCCAAAGAAATTAAAAGTTAACTCAACTAAATGACTTCCACTAACAGCTCTATATATTAATGGATCTTAGAACTATGGATTCTTACATGCTTGCTTACTTGGACACCAAGATAGTCCGTCTTCACTGGTTGTGCGCGTCCCATCATAATTTCCACTTTTTCGGAGTTTTGCTGCTTTAGCGACTGTGGTCCCCTGGAGTTCCCAGGACAGCCTGGCCAAAGTCGGCCACAGCTCGTCGCCACCACAGTCAGTCACCGCCCTTATGGATAAGAGCGAGATTTTCTCCTGGTATTGGTTCACTCTTAGCTGGGCTTCCTGATGGAAACGTCGGTCTCCTACTCACCATGGGAGGCCCTGCTGAGGGAACGAACCCTCCAGCTGTACAGTGAAAGCCGATACCCAGGAGCACCATCTTCCAGCCACGATGAGGTGGCAAATCGTTGGGATGATGGATTCTTACATATGCTTATTAAATAAACAACTATACAAATAATAAGAACAGCAATATAGGAACAAATCTTATCGTGGGAAAGCCGAACTTCACTTACGCTGTATTCTCACTCTGGAACCCTCTTCCCGATCCTGCATATGAACCGTAAATATTCTGTGCCGACATGTAACAATTTCGTGCTCCAATCGCTACCGTGCACGTAATATCTCGAAACGCCTATGAACAGTAAACGTCTTAAAACTTGAAGTTCTTTGTAGAGTTTTCCTACACAAAGTCTCTCTGTTTGGCCTCTACGATGCTGTTTTTAAGCAGAAGCAGGGAACCTCACTATAGTCGTGAAAATCGCAATAAATAAATCTTATTTTTCAGCACCGTGAAAATGCTGTAAAATGATATTTGATGATATGAATATGTGGAAACAATTATTAATCAACTGTAACCCGAAACTAGGCGGCGCGTGTGGCCCGGCTCCCTGCAATACACACGGGATCGATTCCCGCGCATCTGGCCCACCAAGCCTTCCATCTGTCCGGGGTCGGCAAATTGGTAGCAGACTCGTCTAGAAGGATAGCAGCACTGACTCGCTACATCGGTAGGCCACCGCGATAAGTGTAAATGCGATGTAAAGCCAGATGTGCCTTCAATCACCTTCAACGACGCTTAATGAAATCGAATCTATGGTGCATTTCTCAGGTATTGACCAACACCAAGAGTTTATCCTTTGTTTTTATCCCAAAACTTGCCGGTAATCAAGGAATTGTCTCAAAGGATGTAAGAATTTCTAGTTTTTCCAAGCGCACTATAATCTTATCTTTCCTCAAATGTCATTCGGTTATTCCTTATGCTTGACCTTCAATGTAACTGTAGAAAGTTTTGGTTTTAATTATAACTTATAGATGACATCGTAGACCTGTCAAAAAAGCTATAATTTAGAAAATAAGTCATTGAATATTTGGAGAATAAAGTGTGTTCTTAATATTTGTTAATGTTATTGGCTGGTAGCTTACTCGTATTATTACTGAATATTATTTAAGAAAGAAAACACTTAAAACTAACAAAAAATAAGTAGGACTTTCCAGTAGATGCTATGAAAAAACCTGTGAGCATCTGGGATGCGGCATGAATCGTCCCAGGTCGGCCATCGCCTGCTTCTCGATGCACGGACACGATGAGTTCGTCTCGGTGTCCCGGATAAAATTCCACTGAGCACCGTCTTCGTTGTACCTGGAAAAGATGAACGTGGTGCTCATTTCGTTGGAGCTCAACCGTTGGTTTCCATTTTCTGCCGACGACTACTAGCTTCAGATTTCAAGTTCGTTTTTTCTCAGGTTCTACTTTTTACTTATTTACTTGGATATTTGGATGGCCCGTCTTCACTGGTTTTAGGGGCTACAGCATAATCTCCATTCTTCAGAGATATGCTGGTTTCCTGGAGTCCGGAAGACAGCTTGGCCAAAGCCCGCCCCAGGTCATCACCATTACAAGCAGTCGTAACCTTTGTGGATCAGAGGGATATTTGCCACCATGCGACTGGTTTGATACCGAGACGGTGGTGGATCCTGGTATTAATTTACTCTTAGCTGGGCTTCCTAGTGGAAACACCGGACTCCTTCTCAGCTTGGGAGACCGTACTGGAGGGTGAGCACCCCTGTACGTCGCAGCCTGACACTCAGGAACACCTCCCAGCCACGTTGAGGCGATAAACCGTTAGGAGGGTTTACTGCTGCTGGTTGTACCTTTTATACCCAAAAATCTTGAATGATTGTCTAGTTTCTGTTGACGTTGTTGTTGTGTATCAATGTTCATAGTAAAACTCCAAGAAAACTCGTACGATATTGGCGTTACAGTTATTGTAAAATATTGTAAAGGTGTGAAAAATAATGGATCATGAACGAAAAACATGGTGTCATTAGTGTCTGGTGAAGCTTAATGGGAAGCTCCGACTTGGGACGGTCAACTGGTAGATGATCTAATTTGTATGCAGCCAGTGGAAACTTTTTTCCAACAAGATGAGATCAGAAGGATTTCTTTAGGTAAATCGGTACACTAAAAACAAACAAAATAAGTTATGAGCGCTCTGCGAAGAAGTGAATACTGAACTTGCTAGTTGATATTTTTACATGCTTTCCATGGGTTCTTCATAACTTCAAATGACCTTGAAAGTGATACGAATGAATAAAATGACAAAAAAGCCACCGTACCAATCATGACACATCTCTAGGGACTTCTTCTTCACGAATTCCACCCTGGCATTTTCGTCACTTTGTGAATAGGTGGTGGTTGAAAATTCCGGGTTATTCGTCGTCCACAGCCAATGGAGGGAAATCGGTGCCGAAACAAGACTGAAATTTCGATTTTCTATGGGTACCATCAAATAGGTACGGAAAAGGTTTAGCTTGCCGAGATATTATCAAAACAAGTAAAATAGAAAGAGAAATAGAAAAATGTGAAAGATTGGACTACATTTAAGAAAAATATGTTAAGGAGATTGGCATTGTGGTCAGCGGCGCTCCGCGACACATACATGGGACCAATCCCGTGCCTGACCCACTAAGTCTTCAATCCCTCCGCGATTCGGTAATTGGTACCAGATTTGTCTGGGAGGATAACAGCACTGGCTCGATACATCAGTAGGCCACTGCTAGTTATTGTAAGGGCCAGATATGCGTTCAATCACTTCCAACGACGCTTAACGAAGTCCAATGAATGGCACATCCCTCAGGGGACTTATCAACGCCGAGAGCTAAAGCTCTCTCTTTTCTTTATTCTTTTTTTCTTCATCCTTTTTATATAAACAGAGCTATTCTTTATCCTTTTTATGGTAGTGGTAAATACAAGTTAAAACATTATAATTTCGACTGCAACTTCAGATTAACTGGACTCAATGCGTGTTTGTGCTATCCAGATTATTTCCGTTACTTGGGTGATTACTGAGAGCATGGAAAGAGCAGAAAGATCTGGCTGAGAAGAAGTTATATCCAAGGCGTTGGGTGGTGCAGTGGATAACATGTGAAGCCCCAGAAAGGGCTATCGCGAGTTCGAAAAGCACCTAAGGTTCCGAGTTTTGCTCATGTCTCAAGATCTCTATGGTAATATTTCACACTCTACGCTGCCGCGAGAACAGAATAGGGAGAAAAAAGGTAAAACATTTAGAAAATTAATTACTTTTCTCGAATTAATCTAAATCGCTATCACGAATCTCTAAGCATACCACAAAAGCAAGCTTACCCGGAAAGCAGAGTTTGTGGATTCTCATTCTGATTCGGTCTTATCGGCGCGAGTTTCAAATATCCAAATCGGTAGTTGTACAGCTCGTTCATTCGTTGCCAGTCGTTCAAGTACCAATGTTCAACCTGATAAAATCTATTCGCTAACAGAGAATTAAGTGGAACTAGATTTTTTTTCCAAAGAAAACCCGTTGAAGAATAGCTTCGTAAGAAAAGTAACAATTTACGTCAGCTAAAGAGAGCAATTTCTCCCAATGGTTTACCGCCTCATAGCGGCTGGGTGTTACTGGCTCTCGGACTTCGATGTATAACGGAGGAATTCATTCCCCTAGCAGGACTTCATCATGCTGAGAAGTCCGACATTTCCGTCAGAAAGCTCCAATAAGAGTAAACCAAAATCAGGATCCACCACCGTCCTGGTATCAAAGTCACATGGTAGCAAATCTCTCTCTGATCAACAAGGGCTGCGACTGCCTGTCGTGGTGACGACCTGGGGCAGACTTTGGTCAGGCTGACCTCGGGATTCCAGGACACCACAATGGCTTAACCATCAAGTCTCCGAAAAATGGTGATTATGCTGGAGCTCGTACAACCAGTGAGGACAAGCCGCTCAAGTATCAAGTGAGTAAGTGAAAATCATATGTATAAAGAATTTCCGGAAATTCTTAGAACTCCTCACTTTCACTGTCAACACCAAATTTTACCTTAGAACATCTCTCACTGACATTTGTCACATTATTGCTTTTCCCATTTGCTTAATTATAAATACTTAAAGATTAGCCCCCATTTACCTGGTGTATGTTGATTCTTTCCTCCTGAGGTTTCCAACGATATTCATAGGTGTTACGGTTGGAATAAGTGGCAAGTCGGCACAATATTCGATGTTCTGGTCGGAATTTTTTAATCTGCAGGCGAAATTATATTCGTTTACAACTTAAAGTTGACTATGCTGTTAGAAAAATATCTATAAACAATTAGGAGTAGTTCTAATCTAGGAGTAAGTTTTGTAGAGGTTTCCACCTTCACCTGTGTTGGTGCAGTCAAACAGCATTTTTGGTCGAAAAAAGTAATTCCGCGAGTAGCGACAGTGTGGTTATCGCAAGAGAAAATGAAGATTGCACAAGAAGCGCAATGGTTAGAGATACGATTCAATAACATGGGCGATGGTCACTTGTTTAACCACGACCTAGACCAACCAAGTTTCCTACAGCAACTTTTGGGTCTCCAGAATGGAAAAACACTTGTGTGAGAGAAATCTCCTCCGACCTCACAATTATAAGCGGGTGTCTATGGCAAAGAAGAAAAAGATGATGAATAAGACACCGTCATACCGCCATTTGAGGATTCTAAGGAGGATCTCATCGACTAGCATTCACAGAAAGCAAAGATTCATTCAAGAAAAGAAGAAACGTCAAAGTCCAAATACCAACCCAAAAATGTTGGGTAACGTATGGGAAGAAATTAATGGAATAAATAAGTAGTGATATCAGCACATTATGTGATCTCGAGTGATTTAAATGAAAAAGGAATAAAATACAAGATCTACGTCATTAACCTCGTCGTCTTTGAATTCTCGATATCCGATAACATAAAGACCAAGCTGCACACTATACATGCTATCATCGCCAAGTCTTAACGATTCCATATGAAAAGTTATGTCCGGATTAGTGAAATTCCTCGGATACCACACCAATGGCATCACCTAAACTTGAAAAAGGATGTCACATAACAAAAGAAAAAGGAAAGAGATGAGAAGTATTCCAACACGATTGGTTTAAAGACGCTTACTTGGTATGGTATAGGATTTTTGAACCAATCGTAAATGTTTCCAATATCCAAACGCATCGGATCCAACGTCGGGGGGACTAAAGTACACGGTTTCATATGTAACGCAAGCATTATCTATTTATTTACTGGTTTTTGTTTGCTCCTGTTACTTTGTCTTAAAGACGCCCTTCGAAGTTTTCTTCAAAAATTATTCGTAGGCTACTCTACTATTAAGCATTTAGTGCTCAGTAAGAATCTTATTTGAAGCCAAGTCCGAAGTTTCTCCTTTTGTATACCCTTTTGTTCACTATCCACAAAAAGTAGTTCACTATGGCAGTATTTTTGCGTGTGCATCGATATGTAGTTGCCTACTAATTTTAAAAGTATAAAAAAATGAGAATTGGAAAGCCAAGAAAACTAAGGCTTCAACGAATCCTCCAATGATTTTAGGTGGGCAGACGAAGTTGTTTGCTTCGGAGTAGCCTAACTGGGTAAGAACCGTGTGTAGAATATGAATTTTTCTTTAAAAAATAGTGAGATACCGAAATAAATGTAGCCAACGAAAGCTTTTTCATCGTTGCCACCACCACCTTGTGGTTGAAAGTAGACGGTTTTCGTCCCCCAGTCGTAGATTTTAGGCAAATGACATCGAGCAATTGCTGGATTCAGTACTGTACACGTAGCTGTCTGTAAAATTTGTTACATAACCATATATTGTTTAAAAAAAGCCGCTAGAGCACAAGGAAAACAAAATCTGGTCCTCATAAAAATTATTGGCGATTCAACTTTCTACAATTGTTACTTTTTTTATTTTTTCAAACTTTCTGTTACGGTAGAAAAAATTGCTGAGAGAAAATCAAATCAATGGCCTCCGTGGTGCAGACGTTAACAAGTGGGCCCGCTGAATGGGTAATCTCGGGTTCGAAGCTGGCCTGAGAACCGACTTTTGCAAAAGAAAATCACTTTTTCAGCAAATTAAACGGTACCGTGTCAAAAGAGATTAGAATAAAAAAGGCCGAAAAGACTCCAAAACAACCAATAAGTAAAAATCAATCGTTGGATAGAAATAGAAACTACCTGTCGTTGTTCGATCATCAACATGTAGGTCTGTGTTCTATCCAGGCATATCGCATTCACATCAACTGCCATCTCACCCATCATGTTGACAATATTTGGGTAAATCAACATCGGATCTGAACTATCTTACAATTTATGGAACGACATTCAAAATAAGAAAAAAGTTTAACGCGAATTTATTAGTAATAACTGTGTGGTTAATAAAATTAGGGCAATACGAGGTTCATAATGGTTTAATGCCCTACCGAGGCCGAAAGATGAAGCGCCTAACTACGATGAAAAGGGTGAATACATTGCGACACCATCCCATATGGAGCCTCTCATCACTTACAGCACCCCTTTTTTGCAAATTCCAGCACTTGCTGTATTAAATCCGTTTCGTTATCTACAAAAGTCTTCTACTGCTTCAGGATTTTTGGCCTGCTACATGAATATCTTTGAATATCTCCCTATTTGTGAGTTGGACTACTGCTTTAGGATTTTTGGCCTACTACATGAATGTCATTGAATACTGGTCGAGACGACTCTCCCATGTCGATGGGAACAAGGTTATCTCAGACTAGTTTGGCTGCAATTTCCTGACCCAGGACGGGCTTGAAGTTTGTCGTGCCAAGAGCAGGTTTGACGAACGCACCAATCCTACTGAACGGCATCACTGCCTACGCTATGCATTTCCTACCTAGAAGTTAAATGAAAAATTTGGTGAAGCCCACAATATTCTTCTTCTAAGAGGGCTGACAATCCAACTAGTGACAAAAAAACAAAGTTATAAAACTAACATGTTCCGCCAGTTTTATTACTACATCCACCCGGCCGAACTACATCGTCTACTCGAAACATGTAACGTCCTCGAACCATGTGCGGTACACCAGAGCGTTGTGACAACACCTTCAATTTCGAATGCGATGAAGGGTAGGAAAATAGAGGAGGCAATTGGAAAATTTGCAAAATCAACAAAAAATTTTCCTTAACATCAATATTTCATCGTTCGCCACGTCCTTTACAATATAGGACAAAAAAATAAAAAAGCTGTCGGTGTTGATCAACACCTGAGGTATGCGCCACGCAACCGATTTATCTTTGGAGGTAATTGAACGCGTACCTGGCCTTTATAATGACTTGCGGTGGCCTGCTTATATATCGAGCCAGTGCTGCTATCCTCGCCGACCAATTTGGTACCAATTTGCCGACCCCAGAGATATGGCGGGCTTCGTGGGACTAGGGCGCGAGGATCAATAGCATGTGTATTACAGGTCGCCTCCGACCACTGCGCAACACCCGCCTCACAGTAAATGACAAATGAATAAAAAACGACAAGCGTTTAAACTGCTTCAAGGCTTCCTAGAATGATTCATTGCTTTTTTTTGATGGGCAAACAAGAGGCCGTTATTAGAGCAGTTACTGATTCACAATAGCCGACTTTCGACAGCTTCGTCTCCTTTGGAGGCTGGATAGGTCAAGTTGACATGCTACCCACTCAACCAAACACTTTCATTACCTCAGCAGACAATACTTGATCCTTAAATTCTTCATCTGCAAAATAAACAGTCCTTTTAAACACTCACTGTTTTGTTCTTCGTAAGTCATCCAGTTAACTAGTGGAGACCAGCCCCACAGAGACGGTTACGAACTAGCTAGCTCCTGAAAGAGCCTGGTGGTATTCCAATCATTGTAATCGAATTCTCTTCACCGGCCCTTCTCAAGCAACGTTTTACATCTGGGATACGAAGGAGAAGATGAACGAGACCTTATTCTCACTAGAATTATCGTTTAGAGGCATGGTTATTCCTCTAAGCCCATCCTGAATACTACAGTTTCTTAACCATTGTAAATAGCTATTTGCTGCGCCAATTTCACGGTCTGACTGTTTATTCAGTAAGCCGAAACATTAGTCCATTTTCTCTTTTGTGGAGCAGATGTCAAACCAGTCATCTATATATACAATAGTGCAATGATGGCGTGAGATCGATTACTACTGCTTTTATCTACGCTACAGTAGGATACAGAGACAGCGGAAAATATTTTGAGGCAAAAGTCACTATCCTCGAACAGGAAGCCAGAACATCAGCGCGTGAAAATCTTGAAGCGTTTCGAATTAATTCCAAAAATCCAAAGGTGAAACGCAAGGAGGATTGTCTCGAGGACACGTGTCCTGGCGTCATACCTCATGCAGATTCTATAATCTGATGCATGCACACTCCTCGCCCATATAGTACTCTCTGTGGCTGGTCTCCACCAAATTACTGAAAGACTTGCAAAGACCAAAAGGGTGAGTGTTTAAGAGAGGCTATTTATTATGCGGATGAAAAATTTATGTATTAAGTTTTATCTGCTGAGGTAATGAAAGTGTTTGGCTTAGCAGAACGCATGTCAATTTGACTTTTCCAGACTCTGGAGAAGGTGAAACCGCAGAAACACGAGCTACTTTTAATTAAGAACAACCTCGTGTTTGAAAGAAAAACACTGAATTGTTGACCAATGCATAGTACAAAAGAAAGTTGGTCTTAGGACTTCGCAAAATGCTTTCAATGGCGTTTTAACACTGTTTGAAACTATAATATAAACTTTAAGAAAGTGAATGGAACAAAATTACGGCATAAAATCAAAGCCATTGGGAAACGGAACGAATTACAGGAATGAGTAGAGATAAGTGGAACGAGTCAATTGGACCCTTACTGCGTTTCAGTTACTGCGTAATATAACTGTTTTAGTTCCCAGGATCGACTTTCTCTTAACCTCGGCATTGGAATATGAATGTGTCGTTTTCTTGTTCAGCAATCGCGAGGTTTTTAAACAGCATACATTTACTTCCATAAAAAACACAATACAATACAACGCTAGCTGACGTTTCGGCAGTATCGCCTTCTTCAGAGCCTGGAAGGGTATACTGATATACAATCTACTAGGCCAAACGCTTCAATAACACTTACACAAAGACGAAAAACTCTTTGGTAATTACACGATCAACAACTTCTCGAAAAACCCACCGCTTTTTTCGTGACTTCCAATGAGGAAGTTTAGAACAGCTGATTATAGTCGCATGTGGTTGACGACTGCACCATCCCACATCAAAAATCGATGCGAACGTACGGCGTCGGGTCGCGTATGACCTCCGGGCATTCGTCCCTGCTATTCATTGTAGGGTTTTTGGCATTTATCCAAAAAGCCTCAAGGAGTTTTCGCTCTGGTGTTTTGGACTCCTGTGTGTATTTTTGTAAGTGTTATTGAAGCGTTTGGCCTAGTAGATTGTATACCAGTATACCCTTCCAGGCTCTGAAGAAGGCGATACTGCCGAAACGTCAGCTAGCGTTGTATTGTATTGTGTTTTTATGGAAGTAAATGTATGCTGTTTAAAAACCTCGCGATTGCTGAACAAGAAAACGACACATTCATGTAACTGTTTTAATTCGTATTTTGTTGATACGCACACAGAAAACGGTTATTATAGAGTATTTATTCACAACAGCTGATCTTACGCTGGATTTCGCCTTCTTCAGAGTTTGGTTAAGGTCTAGTTAACTGCAAACCAGTCATCCAAACACCTCCATCACCCCAACAAAAAAAGCACGATACCTAATGCTTGATCGCGTTGTATATAGAACAGATTCTTCACAAATTAACCGCTCTACTTAGTACTCGGTGAAAAATTCACAGGACGCGATGAGTTTGTGAAGAAGCTGTTTTAAATCCATGGAGACTGAAGATGAGGTATCGCGGATTACCTGTTGGGGTTATGGAGGCCGACTACTGACTAGATTGCGGTTAACTTGACCTTTTCATGCTCTGCAAAGGTTGAAATCCACCGAAATATCAGTTATTGTAAGCGAATAACATAAAATAACAAACTCGTGAGTGCAAATCAAGAAATCAGCAAGTTATTTAGCTCTACCGAGGACAATAAAAAGTTGGTCTTGGGAATCACTGTTTTATTCCCTCCCTTTCTAATACCACCACCAAAAAAATCTTGGAAAGAACTGCTTTCAAATGCTATCATATTAAGCTTTTCACCATTCTCCCCGGAAGACGTTATCGCTTACCTTTGGTGAGTTTTTAAACGGTTGGGTTGGATCGACAGGTACAATACCTGTATGGTTACCGCCGTTGAATACAGCCTAAAAGAAAGAATGTTTAATGATTTGAACCGCTTTCTTCTCCTGAGCGCTACAGTGAATAAAAATATAGCTAGGAAATATGATCGCAAACAAATATACCTTCTCTTCTTTACCTTTGCATTTCCTTTTGTGAAAAAAAATGTCAAAAATAGTTTTTTTTTAGCTCCTTTCTCTTAGACAAAATTCACTTTATGGTCATTAAACGTGACCTCCACGTTTTCATTCTTTAATGAAAAATCATCAAAATGCTGATCGTGGTGTTTTTTCCAAAATCGAAGTATTGTTTCTCATTTTCCTGCTAGAATTTGTTTCGCATGTATCATCCCATTTCGCTTCTCATCAAACGAAGAAAGATAATTTGAGAACAGAGAAGTTGCTGCTGCCAAAAGTTGCCAAGATTTCAATCACTTTGAACACAGCTTTGCACACTCACCGCTTTCTATGAGGTTTCCACTAAGTATGTTACGTAGAGACCAACCGCACAGAAATCACATGGAAGCATAATGTGCCCCTCTCATCAGAATAGCAGTCTTATATACTGCGCTATATCACCCGTGATAATGAGGCATTCTTCCCTGCGGTTCATTTTCGTAAAAATCGGTTCAAAATCCGAAATCTGTGCGGTTGGTCCTCACGCAACATGCTCAGTGGAAGCCTCATAGAAAGCGGTGAGTGTGCAAAGCTGTGTTCAATGTGATTGAAATCTTGGTTTCGCGTTTTCCTTGTTTGGTTATGGAGGCGTCTGGCCGAGTAGATTGCTATCAACTTAACCTTTCCAGGATCTGAGGAAGGCGAAATTCGCCGGAACGTCAGCTTATTCGTGAATAAAGAATAATAACACCTCGCGTTTGCTCAACAAAAATACGAAGAAAAATTGCCTTCGATGACGATACAAATGGCACCGAAGAAGCGTAGTGGTTAGGCACGGCGTGCAATACGCATATAGTCGATGGTTCGACCCACCACATGGTTAACCAAGCCTACCATTGCTTCGGCGTCCGTAAATCGGTGCCAAACATTTTTGGAAAAACCCCCATCCGATCCACAAAGGTTGGCGCAGGTATGGTAAGGACAGTGGGAACTATTTATTAGAGATACCTCAGGATTTCCAGGGAAGGTCAACTCAACTGGTATTCAACTAACTACAGTGATGAAGACAAAGTTCTCACCCCCGTGACAGATTCGAGGCAATGAATTGAACAAAAGGACTGTTGGCACCCTCTCAGCTTATGGAGTCAAGTCATGTAAGTGAATAAGTAGATAATTAAATTGAGGTATTACAAGGAATAGATGGTTTCGGAAGTTTATTTTTAGCTATTTTAGCTATACGTGTCTAGGAGCTTATTTTTTACTGTTTAAACATTGCTGCATTCGATAATGGTGTTAGCTAATTAGCTAAGTAAATAAAATGAAATCATATTGCTGTACTTTTGTATCCAACAGGACATCCGGCTCCAGTTGGTGAGTGTCGATGACTCACTGAGAACAAAGCACGGTCAGAGTTACACATTATGACTAACTGGTGCCGATTCCTCTCACGCTCAAAAATATTGGCATGACTGTAGTTTTTTTGAAAAATGGGAATCTCTCAGGATTTGCAAATGAATGATTGTATTTATAAAGCGTTTGATTTTGCTCAGTCCTTTAATGATGCACCATGAATTTGAATCTATTCGTATCGTGGAGGATACTAAACGCACATTTGTGCTATAAAATGACTTGCAGGTATCTTACCGATGTACAAAGTCAGTGCTCTTTGTTTTTTCACACAGGTTCAGCACCAATTTGCAAGTATTAGATGTATTAGGACGAGATGGAGAGTTTGTTAGCCTAGGCAGGAGATCGAACCAAGAACGAAGTGCATATTCCATGAATCCACTCCGATACACTTGGCCCAGTAATTTCTATATAGAATTAAATCAAGCAAAAAATTGTGTAGAATAACACAGACCACATTCTTTTCGAAAACGTCTTGTCAACACATACGATTGTAATTAAAGCGAAGGATTTATAAAATAAAATAAGGTTTGTACGCATAAAAAATCTGTATACTACTTTAAAACGGATCGATTACTTTGCAGATATGATCGCTCTTCTACGACCGATAAACTTATCGGTAACTCAGTTGCCTTGGAAACGATTCCGAAATATTTCCAATACAAATTAATCATAGTTTTGTAAAAGGAGCTCATACAAACCATTTTTAATAGTCAGATTTCAGGAGGAAAGAGAAAAGCGAAAATTTTCGACCGGGTGCGAACCTGACACCGTCCACTTCTCGAATTCGCACGGAAGTCGGCGGCATCGAAACCAAGTTTGTCGTAGTTCAGAATCACATAGCTGAGTCGCGCAGTCTGTGAATTCAATAGTGACTTTGAGATTTTCTAAATTTGCCCATTCAGCAACTAAACAAAGTGAAAGACAGTAAAAAAAACCTGGTAAAAAAGTAATTATTGCAGAAATATCTTTTCAAGAAATGCAAAAATTGTTCAGATTTTGCGATACATAGTCTCTAATTGTAAACTGTTCCAGTACCTCATCAGTAAGCCAAACGAGTTGATAAGTGGCCAACTGTCCAGCGTCCATGTCACTTCTTCCGGAAATCGCTGACGCCGTATTGTACCAGGTGACAACCAGAGCTGCATCAGCACGAAAAGCAGCCGCACCAGCAACACCTTCTGCAAGGGACATAAGGCTAGCTAGTGAGCTTGTGCACTTCATTTCTCGCGAAATCCACGCTTCCACAAAGCTGATTACTTTGTGAACGAAAGAGCTCTGGTAATGGTTGTAGAGGTACGGTAGCTCTTGGCCGAGTATGTTGCAGATTAATATGGGTGGTACTGTATCATATAAATATGAAACACATGAAATTTAGGTAGTACTTAACAAACAAATGACACATTAGTAACATCCTGTGCACTACTGACTAAATGTTAAGAATTGTCAATAGATTTAAGAAAGAAACCGTTTTAAGAACAGATGGCAGATACGCATTTAGATAATATGTTTTAAGGACTCAGAGTAAGAAGATGAAAAGGATAAAGCTCTCGGCGTTGATCCACCTCTGGGTGGTGCGCCATGCATTCGACTTCATTAATCATCGTTAGAAGTGACTGAATGCATATCTGGCCTACACAATGATTCGAGGTGGCCTATGGATGTGCAGAATTAGTGCTTCTATCCTCCCAGAAAAAGTGGTAACAGTTTGCCGACCCCGGAAGGATGGACGGTTTGGTGAGCCCGGGGCGCTAGGATCGGTCCCATGTGTATTGCAGAGCACCTCCGACAGCCACGCTACAAGCACCATATCAGTACAAGTGAAAACACTGACATAAATAGTAAATTAACACTAAAAAACAAGTTTAAAAACGGAAGAAAAGTGGCATACAGTAAAACAGTTAATCGACTAAGAGAACACTATTATTTCCTTTCAAACAGCAACGAATTTCGTAGGGGGAATGCAAAAATTCTAATTTTTAGAGTTGAGCTTTAGTTATCTATTATACTTACTTACTTGGATACTTGGTTGGCTCGCCTTCACTGGCCGTGCGCTCCCTAACATGGTTTCGTAGATTTCGGAGTTTTGCTGTTTTAGCGATTGTGGTCCCTGGAGACCTGAGGTCAGTCTAGCCAAAGTCTGCCCAGGTCCTCATCACCACAGCCAGTAAGTTGACTGTTAGCTGGGCTTCCTGATGGAAACGCCGATCTCCTTCTTAGACGTGGGAGATCCTGCTGGGAGGATCTATCCTCCGCTGTACATCGCAGCCCGACACCCAGCAACTCCCTCCAACCATGACGAGGCGGTAAACAGTATACCCATCTATTATTATTTACCAAATGCAACTTTTGGATAAAATATTTACAACCACAACGAAGTATTGGTAACGGAGATTTATATGGGAACAAAAACAGCTCCGAACGGCTTAACGTTTTGTTTTGATTGAACTTCTACAACTGTATCCCTTAAAAAAACGAACTGATGTGATCATTGTATTTCATGTAAAAGTAACAGTTAAAAGGTAATAAGCCATTACTCCAACCTTGTAACCATCGCATCATTTCATCCAGGAAATAGTCGCTATTCTGATCGCATCGAACATAACTTCCTGAAGTTCCTTGACAAGCCTAAATAGAAAGATTTTGATCATCTTCAACAATTTTAAATAGCTGTGTTCACTCTTCAGTGCACAGTATTTGTTATAATAAAATAGAAAAAGTAACAGTTCTAAATAAAGGTTCTTACGGTATTTACTACAATAAGTTACTCAACAACCTTTACAAGATCTAATTCTGTGTATGCAGTTAATTTTGCAAAAACGTAAACCCCAAACGACTTCATGGGATGCAAAACTTCATTAGGACAACAATTAATCTATAAATTGTCTTTTTCTCCAGGAATTAACCTTTTGCATCGACTATGGTACCTGGATGAAATTTCGACAGGGCACAGAGACTGTGAAAAATCAATACATATGGCACTCACCAGCATCCAGCTTAACAGATTTTTCTTCTAGAAAGCTCTTTCGCTTCAAACTTTTTCGTTTTTCATTCAACTTAACGCATTGATTTATATCTTCAACGTAAATTGAGAACAAATTTCACTTGTTCTTATCTGATAAGGCGCTAATGAGTCTCGCTCTCGCTCACCATCGATGCTGACTGTCCGAAGAAGCTGCTCTGATACGAACCGCCAAGGTTCATGTTACTATTTGTACCTCTACCAAACAATGATTGTCTCATCATTAGACGAAAAAACACACCAGATCGCATACCGGGATTCATCTCTTGTGGAATCTGTAACATTTAGTCGTTTTTCCATCTTTTCACTCACTCATCCATTTGTATCGCAACCTTTTCTCCTAGTTACTTGACTGCTTTGTTTGTACTTTTTTCAATACTTTTTGAACTCTTCGAGCGCCCGAAAATCGTTAATTACCTGTTGTTTACATAGGTATGGAGCGATCATCGCCGGATCCTGATGTTTTGGCCAATCGGTCATCTCGGGACCAATGTTAATCGTTGGTCCCTGATCTAGTACGGTAGCAAAGCCAATGTAACCATTTACCGATATCTGAACCAATCGAAGAAAAACGCTCCAAAAATCTATAAGTGGTATCATTCGCTTATCGCCAGTACTTTGTACTACGAACAATTCTTTGACTTCACTTTTTCTTTTTCTGACGTCTTATAGAAAGAAAAGTGTGTGACAATTGTGTATAAGCTTTAGTGGTACTTCCAAAATTGATGACAATGTACATAATTGCGAAATTTTACTTATAAGGTAAAAACGGGTCAATTTTCACGAATTTACCGTCGTATAGTTGTATAGTCCTCCATAGAATGGAAAATACATATGAAGATCGATAGTTTGACCTGAGGTCAACATTCCCGGAATCACTTCTTGATCACCAACTTCTGGACCGAATGGAACCAAATTCACTGAAGTCAAGACGTGGTAGTACATCAGCTGTACAAATGAGTGAGCACGGTATCAGAACATTTACACATGCGGAATTCTTGCACCCTCCTCAAACAGACACCTGCACCCAACGACTAAATCATGTTTTAAGGTGTAAATGTATTAGTTTATAAACTTGTACACTTGAATTCTCCATTTCCTCACCTCAATCTAAGTGCTATAAAAAGGAGCTAGTTCAGTTCTATTAAAAGTCTTACTGGTTTCCTACCTCCATAATACAGATTAGTGCCTGTCCCAGTAAATAACGTCCCAGCCTCCGGATTTCCTATATTCTTTTTGATAGTGCCGGTTTGAGTATGAGTTTGCTGTGGAACTTGTTGAAGTAGCGGTGGCAGTAAAACGCATAACACCGCCACCCATTGCCACCATCGGTTGCGCACTCGATACATACCCAACTGAAAATCATTTTTCACAAGAAACAGGACTAAAATCGTCTAAAAAGAAAAGAATGAGAAAGAAAGTAGCTCGATAGAGCACGAGAGGAGGTTCCGCAAAGATTTTCAAGCAACGAGAGAGTACTATTCATCCGGAAATGAAAAGCAAATAAAAAGAAAGGAATGCATAAACTGGCTAAAATTCGAATTCTCACCAGATTTAGAAGAATGAAAGAGAAAAGGGCATGAATGTGACGTCTTAAAGTTATCTAAAGCTCGAAAGTCAGTAAAGAAAGATTACTACCTCTTTCAGGTTTGAAAAGTGACCTCTTGTTTGGGGCTGACGAATAGCTACTTATCGATTTTTCAGTTTGTTTAACACACCTGAGAGTGAATCAAAGGAAACAAAACGATTGAAAAAGAAAAAGAAAATGAACTATGGGCTAAAATCGTTTTAAAAGATCAATAAGAAGAGTACAATAGATGAAGGGAAAAAACACGTTGGAAGAAAGAAAAAAATGAGAGGATGAAGACTAACATATCTAAAAACTCTAAACGTATCGAACTATTAGAAGCCAGAGCTGCACTTAAAGAGAGAATGTGGTACAAATCAGTGTTCAGATTTCGCTAGATTCCTAGCATTTGTTTTCTATAAGTATGAAATTTAGTACGAAATTGGTTCGAAAGTAGGTAGTCTTTTGAAAAAATGTTTCACTACATTTTGAAAACACTACTTAAATAGACCTGTTATCACTTATTAACAATTGAATAGCTGATGTTTACTGTGACAAAAAGTTCTTCGTTTAGATGGACAGTTTTATTTGTTTGTTCAAACGTTGTTAAACCCAAAAGGTGTTAGATCAAATTTTTTTTTTGGTATTCACCATTCCAATCAAAGGTGTTTTCATTCTGTCAAGAATTCAGTTCTACACAAACCTCTTAAGTGAATCTCTAAACGCGCCATGAGGTCACGAAGAGGGAAAGCTCGACTTGTCACTGCGTTTTTGAAACGCTCGATTGCCGCAAGTATTCCGTAGAATCCCAAGACCATAATAAATCAAAAAAACCGATACAGTACAGTTGAGAATGAGGTCACATAGTCAAAAATACGTCAACGCCAAGCATTTCTACAATAGAAAAACATGCGACAGTGAACAGAACGATTTCTTGTTGCTTTTGAATCAAAATGGTGCCAGAGTTCATAAATTTACTATGAGGCTGTAGATGGTAAGGTTAGTCGTAGCAAAGCAGCCCAGAAATTAATGACGGATTTCAACCTGCATTTTTAAAGTGCTACATCCCAACTTAGGAGAAACTTTGCTAGTCAGTGCAATAGCCTTTAGAATCTTGGAATTTTTGTCAGCGAGAAATGTCACTTATACCGGTTGCACAAAATAGTGATCTTCTGGAGGCCTTAAAGCTGTTGAAGACAGCATCGGCCTCGGCATGGTTCCCGAAGTATTTCTCACATAGAAAATTATCAGGAGGTTTGAAGAAACAGTATACTGCAGAAGTAAGGTGTGGCAAGTATGGTGGACGAGGGAGAGTTTTGTAGCGCTGCTCGATCATCTTTTGCGGCGTCGGTAGGGCGACCTGTCACCCCAAGTTATCGTGAGGAATGATTGCGCCGTTTGAATTGACAAATGTGGAGACACAGTAGCCGATGTTCCTAGTCCATTTCGCCGATTTTCTAGATGTTCTTTTTGCCATCTTGGTTTCACCAGGATTTAGGAAGCTGTGATGGACTACACCAGCAGCAAACCACCAAATGCTCAGCACAACCTTCTTCTAGCGCAGTCGATTTGTACTCCCCAAATCATTCCCGCTGTTGGGTGATTGCTGACGGCACCGTTAGAGTTGAAACTGACTAAGAGAAATGCCAAGCATGGGCCTCGTATGGCGCAGGGGATAGTACGTGAGCCGCCGGTGAGAGTAATAACGAGTCCGATGACCATATGAGGATCCGAGCTTGCTCATATTGCAGCATGCTTGTTTCTACACTACATACAATCTACCAAAGAAATAAGAAGTAAATAAAAGTCAAAACATTGTTTCAAGCCGCTTACGTGAACAAGTTTGAATTCATAATGATAAAATTGTCAAGGTATCTTGACGTCTAAAATTCTAACCTTTAAAAATTGCCAAAAATACAATTTGTATTAATATTCAATCACATTGGATGAAAATGCATAGAACATTTTGTGCAAATAATATATAAAGGATAAAAAACAGAAGCTCTCGGCTTTGATCAATCCCTGAAGGATGTGCCATGTATTCGACTTCATTAAGCATCGTTGGAGGTGCATATCTGGCCTTTACAATGACTCCAGGTGGCCTACTTGTGTATCGAGCCAGTGCTGCTGTCCTCCCAGACAAGTGTGGTAGCAAACTGCCGATCCCGAAGGGATGGAAGACTTGGTGACCCACGGGTGCGGGGATCGATACCATGTGCGTTTTGCACGGCGTCTGCGACCACTGCGCCACACGTGGCCTTCACGAAATAATATATAAAGCATCGAATTCGGAAAAAAGGCGTTGCCAAAACATATACAAGAGAAACGAAATTCCAAAACCGAGATTATTTTCTGAGCAACCCAAAGTGATGACGAAAGTCCAACCAATGCCTGAATAGATGATGTGCATTTGCCCGATGTGTATTTTAATCTCATCGAAACCACCGCACAATAGTCCAAGGAATACTTATTCACTACAGTAAAAAAGTTAAAGTGCAGATGTAACGAAAAATAAGTAGGAACGGCTATAAGTTGTGGAAACCAGTGAAGAACTAAACAGAACTTGTCAACACGAGCTAAGTGGTGTATTAACCACTGAAGATTATTAGACTTCTGATAAGAATCCCTTCTGCCATTCACATTATAGCAACACTTGAAATGCTCAGAATAAACAGACGGCAACCAACGTTGATAAAAGAAGGAATCATAAAAGAGAATAAAAACAAGTCTAATTTTTTCAGTAATGTGACCGATTAGTCGAACGGAATGTTTCGCAAGTATTCGACTGCTTTCGGATTGTTTTTTACACTATTCCACTGTTCTTTCGTGAGAATTTCCATAACTGACCATTGCCGTACTGGTTCCACTCTAAGAAATTCTGGATACTTCACTGAAGACAAGAAAAACATGAATTCACTTACTGTTCACCTACAGTATTGTTCGTTAGAAGGGCGCAACTTTTTGTAAGAGAAGAAACGGCCTCCGAAACACCATAAGATGATCTGTAGATACGTAATACGAAGCAAGGTACTGCTGTATTTCCCATTTACCATTCAGCTAGTAACTTAACTGATCCCAGAGTCTAGTACGGTTGGGTTATGGTGGGTGAACCAATGACCCCATGCGATTGAGGAATACAATATTGAAAAGCGCTAGACGTTTTTCAAAGTGATTTTTCGAAAGTCTTTTGTTAATTAATAACTTCTGTAAAAGAACAACAAATTTGTAGAAGATAACAAAGAGCAAAGGCAGGCTGTTATCAGTTCTTCAACTAGGATATTCTTCTCAAACTGATGAACAAGTCATGCTTATATTGACGCTGAGGGTTAAGAACGAGTAGGCTTAGAACATTACTAAGGTAAACGTTATTCTATTTAATCAGTATTTGACAATTTTCTAACACTTTCAGCTAAACTGCTTATATAATATAGCATATGTGAAGAAGGGATTTTTATTCCAGCACCATTTGTTTGTTTATCACACATGGGCGCATGTGGGTACAGCTTCGGCCAGGATTTGGTTTAGATGAAAACGTTTGCGAGAAGCATTTTTCGTACAGCATTTCATTTTTGCATCCGATTTTCTCTTATGGTATCGGACACGCTGGAAAGCTATCTGTGTCAAGGCCTCTAATCTCTTCTGAATCACAAAGACGGCTAATGTTGGTGATAATGTCCTGGGAACCTTTGTCCAAGTTGTCTTCAAAGCCTTACGAGAACCACTTGCATCCAAACTGGTAAAAATCCGAGTGTACTGATGACTTCGGCGGAAAGCCTCTGGGTTACACAGTTGAGATCACCAGTTACTTCATGGAAACTGAAATTTTTTGATAAATTGTTGAGTAAGTTGCCAACAGAACTTAAAAAATTAGTAAACTTTCAATGATTTAGAATTGTTGAACACCTAGCATACTGTGAGTACATCCCGACCTTACAATGTAAGTCGTGATAGCCTTCGAATTTTCTTAGAAAAAATAGACTAATCATTTTGAACCAGTTGAGTATGGCTCATTAGAGAGAGATGCTCCACCGAGGAAGATTCAGCTCGATGCCCGACGAAGACGCCACCTCGTGAACACGAACAAGTGTGGACAATCGACTCGGATCATCGGCTCTGATGAAAACGAAATCATCGAAACGTTAGCCGAATAAACATCTTTATCAACCTCGTGTAAACTCAACACTATAAACACATGTTGATTATAAACCAATCATTTCAAGCTTGTATATAATGCTGAGATATTTGCAAAACTCCGGACCGCAGGTGTATGCGGTGGGGAACGAACACCCGTTGTTGTCCTTACCGGGGAGCAGCGCGTGTTCGTTCCCCACCACATACACCTGCGGTCCGGAGTTTTGCAAATATCTCAGCATTATATACGAGTTATATCCCACAACATACCCTGCCATTAAAAAGAAAAAGGCAGTAAATAAAAGGGTTAACATTTCAAGCTTATTTATTAGTAAACATAGTACTACGGAATAGTTTTGTTAAAAATATTTAGGTTAAAGGATTTTTAAACATAAGGTATCACTAATTTCCACCACTTTTTTTACTTGACCTATCTAAGTGTTTCCACTCAACATGCTAGAACGAGGGAAGGTTAAAATATCAGCACAAGAAAAACGAAGAAAAATGTTAGATGTAAGTTTGGAAAGGAAAAACCAAAACGAAAGCCGAGAAGCTATGGAACTAGCTGAGAAAGAACCTACCTAACTGGACGATAAAAAGGCTTGTCGTTGTGATCCATTGTAGAAAACAACAGGTATCCAGATTTTTACA